GCAGTGTCTGGGGTCTTAAAGGCTTAAAGATAAGTAAGCGGCCATCTAGTTGAGAAGCAACAAAGTCCACATAGAAGAAGCACACCAGCCTGTGTGATCATGAGGTGTTGATGGGATCAGGTATCAGGCATCAAAGACCCAGAACAAAAAATCATATCAATATGAATGAGGGGGAATGTGGGATGGAGACCCAAAGCCCATCGTTAGACAATTGGACATCCCCTTACAGAAGGGTCACAGGAAGAGACAAGCCAGTCAGGGTGCAGTTTAGCAACAATGAAACATACAACTTTCCTCTAGTTCTTTAATGATCCCCCTTCCACCACTATCATGACCTCAATTCTTCCTTCCAAATCTGGCTAGACCAGAATATGTACTGGTACAGATAAGAGCTGGAAACACAGGGAAACCAGGACAGATAAACCCCTCAGGACCAACAATGAGAGTAGCGATACCAGAAGGGTAAGGGAAAGGTCGGGGGAGAAGGAGGGAACCAATTGCAATGATCTACATATAACTCCCTCACAGGGGGACAGACAACATAAAAGTGGGTGAAGGGAGACATCAGTAAGTGTAAGACATGAGAAACATAAATTATCAAGGGTCCATGAGGGAAGGAGGGTAGGGGAGGGAGGGGAAAAAATGAGGAGCTCATACCAAGAGCTCAAGTAGAAAGAAAATGTTTTGAACATGATGATGGCAACATATGCACAAATGTGCCTGACACAGTGGATGTATGCATGGATTGTGATACAAGCCGTACGAGCTAGTCCCCAATAAAATGATAAAAATAAAAACAGGAGAGACCAGTCCCTGGAGAAGGACACCTTACTTGGTAAAAGCAGAGGGTTGGTGAAACAGAGAAAGGCCCTTCAGTGCAATGGATTGGCACAGTAACCTCCACGTACCAATGGTGAGGGTGGCACAGACTGGGCTGTGTCTGCTTCTATTGGGCACCCTCAGATCACTAGGCCTCAATTGACCAGGCAGCACCTAACAATCACCTTTCCTGGAGTAGATCACCAAGTCTTTCTCCCTGGGAGTTCCTGTGTGGGTTTGAACCACCAACCCTGTCAGTGTGTAGTCGAGGTCAGTTTGCATCAGGAGGGTCAGTGAGCCTCGCCTTTCGAGTTCTCGGGTCTCTTGCTTTCTGATGGTCGTATCAGGGTGCAGTTGCCTTAGCCAGTTCCCTGCTTCAGCTGGCAAGGCTCACTTCCTGTGAGACACCCCCTGAGGAGAAGCCACATGGACCTGCCCCAATGCAGCCCTGGGTGCTGGAGCAGCCCCATGGAGACCCCTGCAAGTGCTGAGATGCTTGCATGCTCTCTGATTCAGCTTTCCTCCTGCAGCCAGTCATTGCGTGTGTTTTGTGAGATTGAGGAGGACTTATGGGCTTAGACAGCACTGGGTTGGGATGCTTTCTTAATGTACATTTACCCTTGATATAAAGCTCTCTCTTATGCATATGAGTTTCGGTGGATTTGTTTTCCTAGTTTACCCAGACTAACAATATGTTTTCCTAGTTTACCCACGCACAATCGTTGCTTTGGTTTTAGCCCATCTATCTGTGAGAGTGGGGGATTTACAATATGTATTGCTCGGGGAAGGGGGGCACAATTCAATCCATGACAGAGAGAACCGAATCATCTTCTGTGACCGCCCTTCCCTAGAGGATGTGCAAGGAAGGAGCAGATAGAAGGTGAAGGTGAATGACAGGTGAAAGAATTGGTTCTACTGATGATTAAAAAACTAAAACTGATTCTGGCATAGTGGCTATGCATCGTATGGTCAGCAGTTCAAAACCACCAGCGCTTAGTGGGAGAAGGACAGGGCTTTCTAAAGAGTCAGCCTCTTCCCACAGTGGCCAGAGGTGATCTGCCAAAATGGTTCCCTACTTCCTTGACCTAGAAAACCCCACCAGATCATTCAAGTCAAGAGGGTTGAATCTTCAGGTCCACTTAAGAACACCGGAAAAACTGGCAGGCCATCAAGGGTATGCATATCCGGAGCCACCAAGTATTTGAAAGAAGTCACTCAGCAGCGGCAGTGTGAGCCCTTCCAAGGTTACAATGGTGGGCTTGCTAAGTGGGCCCAGGCCAGACAGCGGGCTTGTATCCAGGGTGGGGGCCCAAAAAGAGTGCTGGATTTTTGCCTCGCATGCTTAAAAATGCAGAGAGCAATGCTGAACATAAGGGTTTAGAGGGGGATTCTCTGGTCCCTGAGCACATCCAGGCGAACAAAGCCCCCGCGATGTGCCGCTGGACTTAGGAAGGAGAGAGAGCACCCGGCAGAGGGAGTAGGACGTCAAAGGCAGGGAGCTCACAGGCAGCCATGACAGCTGCACTGGCCAAGGGCCTGCTGCCCCGAGAATTCCCAGGCTGGGGAAAGTTTCTGTGGCGGATGAGAAAAACCATGTGTGGGCAGTGACAACCCTCCTGGCATGTGCCAGTGAACCTCTTTGTTTCAGGCAGGCTTTGGGCCCCCTCCCCAGGTCTTAGGAGCCCTGGTGGCACCACAAGGTGCTCTGGTGGCAAAGCAGTGAAAGCTAACTGAGAGGTCGCAGGTTTGAGTCCCCGGATGTGGAGGAGCATGTGGCATCTGTTTCTGTAGAGATTTAAAGCCTTGGGCATCCGACGGGCAGCTGGACCCTTTCCTGAAGGGTCCCTCTGAGTTAGAACCGGCTTGGCAGCAGTAGGTTCTTCGGTTGGGTGGCCTCATGGTATGATGCCCAACGGCCAATCCAAGGCCCCCAATGGAGAACGACCGGGCAGTCTGCGCCCATCAAGCCTACAGCCTGGTTGGTAACCCTGTCTCACGCTGTCCCATGGGTGACACTGGTCACTGCGTGTGGAAAATTCACCCGGTGCTTTGGCTTCCTGTGTGCCACTAAAGCCAGTGCCAGGGGCCTGGGGCATTCATATCTACCTGCGGACCCGCGGCAGCCGGCAGGATGGACAGAGTTTGATGCATCCTGGTTGATGCTGCTAATTTGAGAGTGAGGTGAGAGCACAAGTTATGCCGGAGCTCTCTGCGATGACTGGAGGGGTAGTCTTCACTTCTCGTGTGATCCATACTTCTGGGTTCCCATGAGGTGGGGGGGCCCTCAGGCCATTTCTCTGAGATCACCTTTTGAACATTGAGCCTTGAGCAGATTGATTTACGTCACCTGTAAGTCAAACCACGGTCTAATTGATCGAAAGATCTGTGCCCTCAGCCTCAAGAAACAGGCATTCCAGGGACCGACAGGAAGCTGTGTTTGAGGAGAAGTTGTTACAGTGAAGACACCGTGCTGGCCCATGCCCACGGCAGTGCCCCTAAGACCGGGCATACGAAAGTGGAGGTGCTCCCTCCTCTGAAACGGTTGTGGCTCCCTAGTCACAATCTAGAACAGCCCTGGTGGCATAGTGCTTCTGAGCTGGCTGCTAACCATGAAGTCAGCAGTTCGAATCCACTTGCCTCCCTGTGAGAGAAAGACAAGGCTTTCTACTCCCCAAAAGAGTCACGGTGTCGGACACCCCTAGGGGCAGCTCTAGCCTGTCCTCCAAGGTCACTGTGAGTCGAAATAGACTCGATGCGTGTCGAGTCACGGGGCTATCCCCAGTTTGCATGTTAAACAAACGTCAGTGCACTGCTGTTCCTGGTCAGACGGTGTTCGTGCTCACAGACACGAGGCGTCGCAAGGCAATTCATTCAGAAGCTGCTGCTGTGGCCGGCCCGAGAGCGTGGCAGGCAGTGAGTGCGTAATGCCAGTTCCTTTGAACTACAAAGCAGCACACAAGGCTTCTTTGGGGCGTTTTCTAGAACAGATAACATGGCCGGGGG